AGTCTGTGTCTCTGTGTGTGTGTGTGTCTGTCTGTGTCTCTGTGTCTGTGTCTGTCTGTGTGTGTGTCAGTCTGTGTCTCTGTGTGTGTGTCTGTGTGTCTGTCTGTGTCTCTGTGTGTGTGTCTGTGTCTCTGTGTGTGTCTGTCTGTGTGTGTGTCTGTCTGTGTGTCTGTCTGTGTCTCTGTGTCTGTGTGTGTGTGTGTGTGTCTGTCTGTGTGTCTGTCTGTGTGTGTGTGTGTCTGTCTGTGTGTCTGTCTGTGTGTGTGTCTGTCTGTGTGTGTGTCTGTCTGTGTGTGTCTGTCTGTGTGTCTGTCTGTGTCTCTGTGTCTGTCGTGTGTGTGTGTCTGTCTGTGTGTGTGTCTGTCTGTGTGTCTGTCTGTGTCTCTGTGTGTGTGTCTGTGTGTGTGTCTGTCTGTGTGTCTGTCTGTGTCTGTCTGTGTGTGTGTGTGTCTGTGTGTCTGTCTGTGTGTGTGTGTGTCTGTCTGTGTGTGTGTGTCTGTCTGTGTGTCTGTCTGTCTGTGTGTCTGTCTGTGTCTCTGTGTGTGTGTCTGTGTCTGTCTGTGTGTCTGTCTGTGTGTCTGTCTCTGTGTGTGTGTCTGTCTGTGTGTCTGTCTGTGTGTCTGTGTGTGTGTCTGTCTGTGTGTCTGTCTGTGTGTGTGTGTGTCTGTCTGTGTGTCTGTCTGTGTGTGTGTCTGTCTGTGTCTCTGTGTGTCTGTCGTGTGTCTGTCTGTGTGTGTGTGTCTGTCTGTGTGTCTGTCTGTGTGTCTGTGTGTGTGTGTGTCTGTCTGTGTGTCTGTCTGTGTCTCTGTGTGTCTGTCTGTGTGTGTGTCTGTCTGTGTGTCTGTCTGTGTGTGTGTGTGTGTCTGTCTGTCTGTGTGTCTGTCTGTCTGTCTGTCTGTGTGTGTGTGTGTGTCTGTCTGTGTGTCTGTCTGTGTGTCTGTCTGTGTCTCTGTGTGTGTGTCTGTCTGTGTCTGTGTGTGTGTGTCTGTCTGTGTGTGTGTCTCTGTGTGTCTGTGTCTGTGTGTGTGTCAGTCTGTGTCTCTGTGTGTGTGTCTGTCTGTGTGTGTGTCTGTCTGTGTGTCTGTCTGTGTGTCTCTGTCTCTGTGTGTGTGTGTGTGTGTGTGTCTGTGTCTGTGTGTCTGTGTGTGTGTCAGTCTGTGTCTCTGTGTGTGTCTCTGTGTGTCTGTCTGTGTGTCTGTCTGTGTGTCTGTCTGTGTGTCTGTGTGTGTCTGTCTGTGTGTGTGTGTCTGTCTGTGTGTCTGTCTGTGTGTGTGTCTGTCTGTGTGTCTGTGTGTGTGTCAGTCTGTGTCTCTGTGTGTGTGTCTGTCTGTGTGTCTGTGTGTGTCTGTCTGTGTGTGTGTGTCTGTCTGTGTGTCTGTCTGTGTGTGTGTCTGTCTGTGTCTGTGTGTGTGTGTCTGTGTCTGTCTGTGTGTGTGTGTGTCTGTCTGTGTGTCTGTCTGTGTGTGTCTGTCTGTGTCTGTGTGTGTGTCTGTCTGTGTCTGTGTGTGTCTGTCTGTGTGTGTGTGTGTCTGTCTGTGTGTCTGTCTGTGTCTCTGTGTGTGTGTGTGTGTGTCCTTGATCGGGTGACTGCAGTAATAACACACACACACACACTGCGGGATAATAAATGTGTGTGAGGGAGGAAGAGGACGAGGAAGGACGACCTGAGGAGTTCTTACCCCCCTCGTGTCCTGGATCGTTGACCACCTGACTGGCAGACTACAGGATGTGCGCCTGCAACACCGTGTGTCAGACGGCGTGGTCAGAAACAGCGGGGCCCGCAGGGGACGGTCCTCTCTCCCTTCCTCTTCACCAGAGTCCTGCCGTCTTCAGAGGTTTTCTGATGACTCTGCTGTGGTTGGATGTATCAGCAGGGTGGCGAGGCAGAGGACAGAGCTGTGGGGGGGGGGACTGTGAGCAGAACCACCTGCAGCTCGACGTGACAGAGACTAAGGAGCTGGTTGTGGATCTAAGGAGAGCCAAGGCACCAGGGACCCTGTTTCCATCCAGGGGGTCAGTGTTTGTGGAGGACTACAAATACCACATGGACAATAAACTGGACTGCGCCAAGAACACTGAGGCCCTCTACAGGAAGGGCCCTTCAACATCTGCAGGACAATGCTGAGGATGTGTTAAGAGTCTGTGGGGGCCGGTGCTGTCCTGTTTGCTGTTGCATGCTTAAACTAGACCTCATTATCTATTTTCTGTGCAGTATTCTCTGCTGCTGTTCATCCGCGAGTCCTTTTTGGTTGATATAATAATGTAAATATTGTACATACCCACTCTCCTTTATATTTGTCTTTATATTCTATATTTATACTCTTATATTTATATACTCTTTATCTATCTACCTTGACAAGTGTGCAATTGTGACAAAAGAATTTCCCTTCGGGGATCAATAAAGTATTTGTGATTCTGATACTTTACTACCTTTTCTCACCCGTAGAACCTCCGTATTCCTAACTAGGCTTCACGCCGTGTGGAGGACATTATGTTCATATTTCTTTCAGGTGGCTAAAACACGTCAGCTGTTGCAGGTAGTACACTGACTGGGTATAAGTACCGCATACGTCAAAAATCCCCAACTAGCCCTTTAAGGCCAGCGTCCACCAAAGCGTTTTTAGCCAGCTGAAAACTACCGAACTTTACTAGATGTAAACACGTGACTCGCTCTGCATGAGGGCTGAAGCAGGTGGAGAGGCAGGACGGACTCGCCGTCTGGGTTCATGAGATTTTGTGGGCGAGGAAACATCTTGGCGATTAGACCTACCACCAGTTTGAAGGTTAGACAAAGGCAGGTTCCAGGATAGTAACCGTTGCTACGTTGTGGTATTTGTAGCTAAAATTAGCGTCTCAGCTAATATAACAGCTAACATGAATGCACCTAGCTAACCAAGCTAGCTAGCTCCACCCTCTCGCCCAAATATGGTCACATCTGGTTCCAAAAAAAACAAGATGGCGACGGCCAAAAGGCCAAACTGGAGGCTTCAAAACAGTAGTCCACAAACCAGCGCGGGGCGCCACGGCGGCCACGCCCACTACGGTCTGTGATGTCAGCAGCAAGTATTTTAGTGAAGCAGCTGAGATTCTTTAAGATACGTTATGTAAAAATCATTACTGGACCCGGTCTCAGTCTGAATGTGGTGAGTTCTGCAGAGAACCAGAACACGACGTGGACTTTAATTAAAATTAAAGCATCTCTAATTAATGCCTTTAGGCCCCGCAGCGCTTTAAGCTAGATGCTAACCCCAGCATGCTAACACGCTGATGCTCAGCAGGGACAATGGTGGACCGACTGGATGGCGTTGCTGTGGAGACAAGCTGCTAATTGGTCCTTCACAGAGACTTTGGCCTCGTGGCTGTTTGATAAATCAGGTGTGAAGGACGAGACCTTTCCAGAGACTCAGTTACCAGACGATCAGCGTGAGAACCGAAGCTTTTTTCTTTATTCTCTGTGATTTAACGCAAGTCTGACCTTCCCCCCCCCCGCTCCTCCTTCCCCCCCTCCTCCCCCCCCTCTGTAAACCAGCTGAAACCGGCCAACTGTGTGAACAAGACCTTTTCAGGTGAGAAGAATCGACTCTCTTTCCTCCTCCCTCTCTGCAAAAAACTACTTTTAATTTTTTAATATGCAAATGAGGTATTTCCTCATTAAATATGTGCTGATTTGCATATCACACAAATCAGTTTTCCAGCAGAGTCAGATGAATCTTTTTGTTTTATTGTGATAATAAACTAAACGGCCAGAAGTTTACAAAACGCTTTAATAAAATATATATTTTTAATGGATTTATAGAAAATATACCACTCGAGTGTGACAGACCTATTTTCCCCACATATTTACAGAGAAAATCTGAATGATAAGAGATGTTTAAAAAGAAAACCCTGTAAACGTGTCGCTGTAAGAGCTCAGAAACACACTTCAAATGAACACATCCTGATAAATGAACATTGTGCTCTAGAAAACAAACTTTCCAGCGACGTCTGATTCAGTATGGAGAGTTTTAAAAAGACCAGATGAACCTTTACATGTAAAATACTAACAGAGATGAAACTTACACACTCGGATTAAAGCGGCCAAATAATGATGTTTACGTATATTTTTCCTCCTGTGTTTGATCACCTCGCTGTTTTTATCCGTCCTCGAGTTCTCTGCAGGACTCTGTGACGAGGAGGCAGGAAAAGGCCGTCCTTGTAAATAAGAGTTTGTTCTTAAGCGTCCTGCCTGGTAAAATAAAAAGCCTCTGTGACGCAAAATATCACCACAGTCAGCGTGAGACCGAGGTGATATCAGAGACGAGAGATGGCGGACGGGGCGAGGATGAGGATGAACACATTAGAAACAGGAGATGAAGAGTCTGGCTTCGGTTGAGATTAAGGAGAGGACAGAGAGAGACGTACGGGGGCCGGTGGATTTAACCTTTGTAGGACCACTGCAGTGGAAAGATGTCCTCGTGTCTTTAAAGGCGTCCCCCAAATAAAATGTTACCAAACCCAGAATACAGTGGAAGCCAGAATCTGGACCCCACGAATACAGTAACCCCCCCCCCCAGTTTGTATATATAGTAAAACACATCAGAGCAGGTAACAGGATCTGTGCCCCCCCCCCAACACATGCCCAGTTCAGTTCAACCTGCTGCTGCCACTCAGATCAATAACAAACCCTGAGTCTAAGCTCCTGAACAGTAGAGACCACGCCCCCGAATGATCAAGCCCCGCCCACGTCCGACCAGCCTCATTGAAAACTCTGATTCAGTATCACTTTCAGATGTTTACTTTCTGACCTGGTCAGGTTCAGGATCAGGATCAGGTTAAGGCATAACATAGCACCACTTTGGCTATTTCCTCTAAGACAAAACGCACTGAGCTAATACAGGGGGCGGGGCTTCCGCTGTGGGAGGGGCGGGGCTTCCTTGTTGCCTGTGTGTGTGTGTGCGTGTGTGTGTGCGTGCGTGTGTGCGTGCGTGTGTGCGTGCGTGTGTGCGTGCGCGGGGCCTCACCTCCTCCGTTCTTGTAGCACAAGTAAGGGAACCTCCACACGTTGCCGAGTCCGACAGCAAAGCCCACGCAGGACATGATGAAGTCCATCTGCCGGGTCCACGTCTCCCGCTCCTGGTATCCTGACTCCGCCCCCGTCACCACACCTTTCTTATCCGGTCCGGCACAAACACCGCCCACCACGCCGCCGCCGGACCCCGCTGCCGACAGCGGGACGAGGCTGCCATTAGTGGCCGCGGGGGGGTAACCGCCGCCGTTAGACAGGAGGAGGGGGTTCCTCTTGGACTCCTCCAGGAGGACCAGGGAGCAGGAGGAGGCTGGCAGGGCCTGCTTCTCCATCACACCCAGTCAGGAACCAGTCGTCAGGGGTCTATATGTCGGTCTGCGTCTCACTCAGGGTTCCCCTTTAATGCCTGCAGGTTTGAGTCCAGTCTCTGGTTTCCCACAGTCCCTGTCTTCGTCCCAGTTTCCCCCAAAACCAGCACAGAACCAGTCAGTACAGCAGCAGTCAGCGCTGGTTGCAGAAGTTAGTTCAGTCCCCCTTTGTCTTTTAATTTCACAGTTTTTAGTTCCTTTAAAAGGCTGAAGTCTCTTCTTTTAATCCTAAAACCAGTCAGCACTGGCTGCAATATAATCTCAGTCTTGTCGTCCCTCTGTCTCTTTAAAAACTCAGTTTATAATCTGTGACCTGCTCACCTTCTGTTCACCTTCTCTCAGACCCAGAAACCAGTTAGTAACCAGTCAGAAACCAGTCCGCAGCAGGTCCAGCTCAGTCCCGTACAGTCCTCCGTAGATCTTCTGGTTCAGTAATAATAAATGGGATTATTATTCCCCTCAGCAGCTCGCGGATCAGCCGGAACCGGACGACCCAGAACCAGTTCTTTAATTTATCGATCCAATTTTGACCACACGGTTTGATTTCAGATTTAATGTGTAAAATTCCAAAATGGCTAGTAATAATCCGGAGACATTTCTTTTCCCGAATCGAAAATGAGAGAAAAATTTACAAACTCTAAAAATGTGAAAATAAAAACAGAAAGGGATTAACACCGACGGCCGGACCGCGACCTTCAAAAACAATCCACGAAACACTTGAATGTGAGTCTGAAGAATCGCATGGGAACAGAGAGTCACGGAGGAGACGGCGGCCTGCTGGAAGACGGAGAGGACGGAATCACAACGGTCCCCCTTTCAGAGACACACCGAGCAGCACGCAGCTTCAGACCCGGCGGCGGGCGGCGGGCGGGCGGTGCAGTCTGTGCGGGAGCTGCTGCAGCTCCATCCGAGGAGCAGGAGAGAGAGCAAAATGTCCGAACGGACCTGAACGCGTCCTCCCAGCTGTCAAATGTCCCGTTAGAGACGCTGCGAGGTATTTAAGGTCCTGCTGCTGCTGTCTGTCCGTCTGTCCGTCCGACCGGCGCCTTTATTAGGACAGGCGGCTGCTGAGGGCGACGTCACACGCACGGCCACGCCCCCTCCCTCTCTCCACGTCAGCCCCTCCGTTTTTTTTCTTCTCTACATCTCTGACGTCACAGGGATCCCCCCCCCTCCCCATACACACTCACGCACGCACGTACGCACACACACAGGCTTGCTCATGTATCCCTGTGGGGACGTCTCATTCACATAATGCGTGCACGGGCCCCACCACCCCTAACCTGAACCATCACAACCCTGACCGGTAACCCAGACCCAAATCTGAGTCTGAACCCGCAAAAACACTCTGGAGTCCTCATCAGGTTAGTGTGCATTCCGGTTCAGGTCCCCACCGGGATATGAAAACATGAAAAACACAGACACACACGCTCAGGCTATCGTCTCTCCGCCACTTCAGACGACCTACATTCATTCCTGGAGACTTTCCCCGACTTTAAACCAAGTCTTCACCTTAAAATATAATGATTTACGTTATGAGGACTCTTGTTTCCTCCCCACAAGAAAGACAACAACATGTGATTCACACTCACACACTCAGTCTGACTCCTCTATCAGCTGTTCATGAGTAAAAGTCCCTGCAGTGTAATTTACATCAGCACCCTGAGTTCAGTCACAGAACTGGAGGGGATCAATAGGCCTTTAAATGCATCACCAAATATTCAAACTTAATCAGCATCAGGTTTGTTTACATCCACCTGTTTTACACATGTTCAGTTTGTGCATAAAAAACCTGAGATTAAATCACAACATTGGATTGTTTTTGTATTTTTGTGCTTGTCTGAAGTTGATGTATAAGTAAAAAAAAGTAAAACGCAAACAGACTTGGTGAATAAATGATGACGTATCTGAAGCATGAAGAGCTGAAAACATCAGATGTGTGAGGAGTGAAGAGGAGTCTGAAACCTTCCTCACATTAACACATGAAAATAACAGAAAAGTCTGTATGGGGGTAAATCACTGTCAATATTATTGTAATTACACACAGATCCAAAAATATATCTCACAATTTGTAAACACAAAAAACGATCTACAAATAGATTCAAAATCCACAAAGTCTTTGTGATCCACAAATATAAAACACGATCGACTACATTGGATTGTTTTTGTATTTTTGTGCTTGTGTGAAGTTGATGTATCAGTAAAAAAAGTAAAACGCAAACAGACTTGGTGAATAAATGACAACATATCTGAAGCATGAAGAGCTGAAAACATCAGATGTGTGAGGAGTGAAGAGGAGTCTGAAACCTTCCTCACATTAACACATGAAAATAACAGAAAAGTCTGTATGGGGGTAAATCACTGTCAATATTATTGTAATTACAAGGCAAGGCAAGTTTATTTATATAGCACATTTTAACAACAAGGTAATTCAAAGTGCATAAAACATAAAAGCAACAGGGAAATATAAAAAAGTTTAAAAGCAACATAAAATATAATAAAAATGCTAAAAACAAAGAAAAAGAAAACAGGACAGTAAAAGTTACAGTGAGTTATCAATAAAAAGAAAAATCTTAAATATTTAATTAAAAGCAGTGGTAAAAAGAAAAGTCTTCAGTCTTAATTTAAAAGAACTGACTGTTTCAGAAGACCTGCAGTTATCTGGGAGTTTATTCCAGATATACGGAGCATAATAACTGAACGCTGCTTCTCCTTGTTTAGTTTTGACTCTGGGGACAGAAAGCAGACCTGGTCCCAGACGACCTGAGAGGTCTGGATGGTTCGTAACGAACCAGAAGATCGGAAATGTATTTTGGCCCTAAACCATTTAGTGCTTTATAAACTAACAGCAGGATTTTGAATCAATTCTTTGACATACAGGAAGCCAATGTAAAGACCTCAGAACTGGACTGATGTGATCCACCTTTTTGGTCTTAGTGAGGACTCGAGCAGCAGCGTTCTGAATCAGCTGCAGCTGTCTGATGGATTTCTTAGGGAGCCTGTAAGGACACTGTTACAGTAGTCGAGTCGACTGAAGATAAATGCATGGATAAGCTTTTCCAGGTCCTGCTGAGACATAAGTCCTTTAATCCTTGATATATTCTTCAGGTGATAGTAGGCTGACTTTGTAATTGTCTTAATGTGGCTCCTCAAATTCAGGTCTGAGTCCATGACCACACCAAGATTTCTGGCTTGATTTGTGGTTCTTAACATTACAGATTGAAGTCGAGCAGTGACTTTCAATCGTTCCCCCCTGGCTCCAAAAACAATAACTTCAGTTTTATCCTTGTTTAATTGAAAAGAATTCTGGCACATCCAGCCGTTGACCTGCTCAATACAGTTACTCGGCGCCTGTATGGGATCATAGTCCCCCGGTGAAATGGTTATGTAAATCTGTGTGTCATCTGCATAATTATGGTAACATATTTTGTTGTTTTTCATAATCTGAACCAGTGGAAGCATGTAAATGTTAAACAAAAGAGGTCCCAGAATGGAGCCTTGGGGAACTCCACATGTCATTTGTGTCAGCTCAGATGTGTAATTACCTATAGACACAAAGTAGTCACTGTCCTTTAAGTAGGGTTAAAACCATTTTAGTACTGTGCCAGAAAGTCCAACCCAGTTCTCAAGTCTGTCTAGTAATATGTTGTGGTCGACCGTGTCGAATGCAGCACTGAGATCCAATAATACTAAGACTGAAATTCTGCCACTGTCAGTGTGTAAATGGATGTCATTGAAGACCTTAACAAGAGCCGTCTCAGTGCTGTGGTGTGGTCGAAAACCTGACTGGAAGACATCAAAACAGTTATTTAGTGCCAAGAAAGCACTAAGCTGTTGAAAAACAGCCTTTTCAATGATTTTACTTAAAAATGGGAGATTTGATATGGGCCTATAATTGCTCATTAGTGAACTGTCTACATTGCTTAATGACTGCAGTTTTCAGGGCATGTGGGAAAAAACCTGAGAGGAGAGACATGTTGACAATTTGTAGTAAATCTGAGGCCATGCATTTAGAAACAATTTTGAAAAAACCTTTTGGCACAATGTCAAGGCAGCATGAGGAGGATTTCAGATGTTGTATTATGTCCTCCAGGTTTTTATGGTTAATAGAATCAAATTGTCTCATGCTATATGAATTGTTTTTAAGTGGACACAGGGACAGAACATATCCTGTTACTGACATGGAGGCACTGATTGCTTGTCTAATTGTTTGAATTTTGTCTGACAAAGGAAGCAAATTCATTGCAGGCCCTGGTGGATAGAAGTTCAGAGGCTACAGACACAGGAGGGTTGGTTAGCCTGTGGACAGTAGCAAACAGGGCACGTGCATTATTAGTGTACACACAGATCCAAAAATATATCTCACAATTTGTAAACACAAAACACAATCTTCAAATGGATTAAAAATCCACAAACTCTTCATGACCCACAAACACAAAACACGATCTACAAATAGATTCAAAATCCACAAAGTCTTCGTGATCCAAAAATATAAAAAAAGATCTACTAATAGATTCAAAATCCATAAAGTCTTCATGATCCACAAATATAAAACAAGATCTACAAAATAGATTCACAATCCACAAACGCTTCATGATCCACAAATATAAAACAAGATCAAAATCCACAAACAAACTCTACTCTCTGATCTTTGTGGGTTTTTAATCCATGTGTAGATTGTGTTTTCTATTTTTAATAATAGCAATCAAGGGAATCCACACATCATGTGCATCTCAAGGCCTTTTCAGGCCAGCCCGTTCTCATTCCCAGGGCGACAGATATGGAGGCTTTGTCAAGTCTTTCATCATCTGGTACCAACGCTCATGGCAGCATTTAGCATCACAGTCCAACACACTGGCAGAAGCCCTTTAGCACCATTGTTCAACAATAAAAAGTGTATATATATATATATATATATATATAAAACCACAAAAGTCAGAGTAAGGAGGTGGTTGGGGTGGCCGGTTGGATTAGAAACCGGACTTTACCTAAGGAGACCAGTTCATTTCCTCTGTGAATCTAAAAGTCATCTTGACATTATGTAGGCTAAGTAGACTTACTTAACTCACGTGATTCAGACACATAAGTCATGTAGATATTTTATCCCAAATCGCAATGTTTGCCTAAACCTAACCAAGTAGTTTCAGTGCCTATACCTAACCATATTGCGATGTTTTGACAACATTAACCACTAGGCCACTAGCATCGGTCGCCATTGCGTCTCTTAAGGTGTTGGGGAGTGAGGTTTGCTCACTGCACGGCCTCGGTCCGTCATATAGAAATCTATTTACCCATGATCCCTCAGAGGAGCTAGCGTCTTGTTAAGAAGAGCTAAGTTCCCCCGTAGTTTTCTATCTGCCTCCAATCTTGACCATCTTTTACTCATTTCTGCTGCCGAAATGTTTCTCAGTGTTGGTGAATTATTAAAAAAACAAAACACCCTCAGTAGAGGGCGCTGTTAACAGGACTGTAGGCAATAGGTGCTGTTATGGGTGCGGACAGAACGGACCCAAACGCAACGCTTGTCAGTTTACAAAAGAGGTTTATTGAGGGAAAAAAGGGAAGAGGGGAGTCGGGAGGTGAGATGAGGTGAGGTGAACAGGACGCCGGCAGACGTGGGCACAGAGGGCCGAGGAGCAGGTGGGGCTGGCAAGGCTCGGGCGAGGCGACCGAGAGGGGGCTGGAGGCCGAGGCGAGGGAGGTGAGGAGCGTGGAGGGAAGCCGGAGGGACGCCGCGGAGGCGAGGTGAGAAGGCAGGTAAACGAGCAAGAAACTGCTGGATTTTGAAAGTATCCAACAGAGAAACTCCCACCCCCTCCCTTCTGGGCTCCTTCCAAAGCCACGCCCCCAAAACACGACTCCACTGGACAATATTATTATTGGATAAGTTTAAAAAGACTGACTTTGATCCAGTAACGAGCTGGCTAGCTAACTGTTAGCAACAGGTAGCTGTGTAACTTATATGATTTCAGACAGAACGGACTCAAATGCAACGCTCAGGTTTAAACTGGTTTATTGAGGAGAGGTAGACGGCGGGGAACACGGGCCCGGAGGACCTTGGAGCAGGTGGGGCCGAAGAGGTTCAGGCGGGAGTGTCGAGGGAAAAAGGAGACCGGGGAGGGAAGGAGTGTGGTGGCAGGCAGACTGGCGAGGAGCGAGGGGGGAGCCGGGGGAACGCCGTGGAGAAGGTCCGTGGGGGGGAGAAGGCAGGTAGGCAAACCCAGCTGACCAGACGGGAGATGGAGGTGAGCGGACCTGGAGGGAAAGACAGACGGACAGACGGGGTTTACTACAGGGAAGCTGGGAACGGAGAAGCAAAGTTCAAATAGGATCAAAGAAGCTTGAAAACTGCAGCGGCACCAAGGCAGGAGCGACGACGACCAAGCGGAGATTGTGTGGTTGAAATACTGGCAGAGACGAGGTTGATTGCTGGCAGGTGTGGATCGTCAGCTGGGCTCAGGAGCAGAGAGAGAAGCAAAAGCCAGGGGAAAACAGAATGCGAGAAAAAAGAGGAGGAATAAACAGGACACTCACCGTCAGCCGGGCTGCCACCACAACACAACTGCAGTCTTTCACCACCTTCAATGAGTACAAGCTCCACTTCCTGGACTTTCTGTTGTACACCTTGCTGTACCTGATAACACAGTTTGTAACACAATAAATCAGCACCAGCTATCTGTATTCCTCGTACTTTAATATTTGACTCATCACTTATAAATGTACTGAGTAAAATGCACAGGACTAATAAAAACACACTGAACTGTGTCATCAGCTTTTCTCCTGGCTGGACTGTGGACACGGGGGTTGAAGTCCAGGCCAGCCAGCGTGGTCCGATCAGCGTACACTGGTGAGAAGCACAGGGTGACCTGAGGGCTAAATTGGTTAAATAATTCATGGCATTACAGTCAAAGGTTTTCACACAGTAGGTTTATCTATGAACAATGTCCAACTCTATAATAAGTAGCTTACAGACCAGAAACGCCGGGACCTTCAGCCAGCGTTGTTTATGTACACTAACGTTGACACGTCTGTCTCATAAAAACACTCAGCTTCATCACCACTTTGTAAAAGAGTAACATTCGATGCTTGACACAAGATAATATTAAACACACAAACAGATTTGATACAAGGTGAAGATAACGTCAGGTGTAAACATAGTATAACTAAAACCCTAGGCAGTGAATAACTAAACCGCCGCAGTCCAAACCTACATTGTCTTGCCTAATATCAGTGTCAGCAAACAAGCTCAGCTGCAGCTACAGAGAATTCATCGTCTCTATTCTGGCGCGCTACACCAGCCTGCACTCGTAGCTACCGTTAGCTGGATGCTAAGAAGGTAGCTAGCGACGAAAGTAACAAATTACCATCAAAATGATAAAAGCTAGATTACCTGTCCAGCAGAAGCGAGCACGGTACAACTTTTCACGCAGGCAGATATAAGGTGACCTGAAAAGAAAACCGGGGACATTTTTGGTTTGGTGGTCAGTATGTCATTAAAAATATGCTATTATGAAATAAAGGAGATTTGGGTTTTAGAATCTGTCAAATATAACTAACTCTTCTGAATGAAATCAAGTCATTTTGAGGCAGGAACTAGCTTTCAGTCAATAAGTAGAGGCTGCAGTCACTTTCTGGCAAGTGGAAAACTGCAACTACGTGAGTTTGGCCATTTAAGGGTATTTTAAGAGGGAAAATGTACAAGGTGAGTTATAATCTGTCAAATAATAACCCTCGTGAATATAATCAAGTCATTTCAGGGCAGAAATAACTTTCCAGTCAATTAAGTCTGCAATCACTTTCTGGCTAGTAAATAATGTATTATATAGATAGTTTTGGCCATTCAGAGGTATTTCAACAGGTAGAAATGACTGGATTGGTTGGTACACAGCAAGTTAAATAATGTACAGTCATAAGGAGAATTGCAAACTCAGCAGTAAGTCATGTTAATTATAGGCTAAATTAGTTTTCCAAATATGAACAAGGATATTAGACACAGGCGGCGTCTCCTGCAGCCCTGAGACCACCTAACTTTTTTAACATGTATTGGTGTATAAAGACGGTTTCAACAAATATGACAAAAAGTGTTTTAGAAACAACAACTTGGCTTCCCTGCCTTTAAATTTATCATAAATTCTATTTTTTATTCTTGTTCAGTGTCTCAGTAAGACATTTACACTGACATAAATAATCAGTCGAAACACAACATAGATTCTATTAGCTCATTGAATTATGTTTTACTGATTTGTTTTATTTTGTAATGTTTAAACCTAATAACGGACTCCAAACACAGTGTTGTGTACGCTGTGTTGAGAGAGCAGAACACATGATGCTGGTAGTCCTGATTTAAAGGTGGTGCACTGCAGCCTCTAGTGGCTGAAATGAGTTTTACAACAACAAACGCGTCCTCCCTTGTTTCCACCTGTTTTTGCAGATAAAAACAAACTCAGACAGATGATCCTGTAAAGCCTTTTTCCACCTGCTCTTTCGTCCTGAACACAGGAGAGAAAAGCTTTTAGAAAACGGATCGCCTGAATGTTTTTCTCTCACTCGCCTTTCTGACGTCTCATTTTCAGGTACGTGGCTGCAGAGGGGAGGCGTGGGGACGGAGCGGGAAACACGGACGTTAGTACAATCATGAAAATGTACTTTAAAAAGTTCTGAAAGGAGAATGTTGAAGCTGCAGCTCCTTCTGAACTGTTCAGTGTCAGACAGTTGATGATGATTCTTTTCAGTCTGGATCCATCTGCTGATTATTTCCTCCATTGATGGAGGAAAAGATTCTGCTGTCACGGTTACTCAGAGCCCAAAGAGACGGCTTCACAGCCGGCGGTCCAAAGATCAGCGTTACTAACAAACATCACAGGTGTCGTTCAGAGAAGCAGCAGATCCTGAAACATCAGACGTTTTACAGGAAAATGATTCAGTTTCTGTCGAACGACTGATTGTTTCACTTGTACAAACTTTTGGAAGTTTCATTTCTAACAAAACAATATATTTTAATGTGTAAAGTAACTAAAGCTGTCAGATGAATGTAGTGAAGTAAAAAGTGCAGCACTTCCATCTGAGACGGGGAAAGACTAAGTCAAACCAGAAGTGACGACAGACTGAGCTGGTGTTTCTTACCGGAGCTGAAGAAGTCAAACAGCTGAGCAGGAACACAGCATCCGTTCCAGGTTTCTCCAAGACTTTACAGGTTTGTTCTGCTTTGACATGAAAGATTTATAAATCATATTAAAGGTTTGTTAAATAAATAAACGGCTCTGAAAAGAACTGTACAGATTCAAAATGAGTTTTCTGTCATCAGGAAGCTTCAACCTTCTGAACAAAGTTTATTTTCTGCATTTATGAACATAAAGAGTCGGCCTGCTCTGAGTGCAATGAGATGACTTTTGTAATGAACGGACGCTATTTAAATAAAACTGATTGAATGGGGGATGAAAAACACGCCTGGGATCACAAACTGGCTCAGGGTGTGTGACAAAGAGGGAGTCTGTAAAACAAGTGTGATTTATGAAACTAAAATAAACACAAGTACAAAAGAAGATGCCACAGCATGGATGCAACCTGCTAGAAGGGAGAGAGTGATCTGAATACACGGGTCCAGGTGAGAGCGATCAGCTGACGACCCTCCCAGTTCAGCCAATCGTCCGCTGAGGTCGGCAGGACAACCTCCAAACAGGGGAGGGGCGTCACAGCTCTCGAATCAGAACTTCTGCAAAGGTGTAAAAAAAACGTTTTTTTCATTCTCTCTCTGACTCACCTCACAGATCAGAGGCCACGCCCACCTCGCCATCACCCTCTTTCTGGGAAAACGCACACACCTCCTCCTAAATGAGGTCATGAACACTTTCTGTCGTCTTGTCTGTTGAGATGTTTCAGAATCACACATGAAGCCACAGGTGAGTCCACCTGCTCCGATCACCTGTGGGGTCAAAGCAGAGCGACTGAAGAATGAAAGAGTGAATACCAGAGGATGAATGTCTCGCTCAGCGTCTCCACCCTGTTAGCCCCTCTTTCTGTCCTGGTGGATGTGGTCTGGGTGTTGGCGTGGCCCCCCACTCCCTGGTCTTTGGTCTGCTCCTGCCTGCCCCCCCCCCCCCGCTCCTCCTGCTCTCGTCAGGCTGAAAGACTCCATGAAGACCTGCTGCAGGGATTTCTGCTTCCTTGTTTCTTCTCTGTGCTGCAGCATCTCCACCCAGCAGCTCCTCCACCGTCACCTTTACCCCAGTCGGACCTCCTCTACTTGGAACAAACACTGCATATTTACCTGCACCCAGAATGTACTTTATGAATCAACACACTCTTCTGTTCCTCAAAAAAAGGAAAGAGTGCTGCACGCCAATCAAACTGCAATCCAATGTTCCTCCTAAAATGTAATCCAGATTCATCATTTCACCTGTTTTCACCATCACCAATAAAAAGTGGAATTTCAAAACGCTCCGACTCGACTGAAATCAGATCTGAATTCCCTTTCTTTCACGTCAGGTTAGGAGCTGTGAGAGTGTCTGTCGCAGCGCCACTGTGAGGTCAGTTCATGTGTCCTCGCCTGTCCCGCTGTCTGCAGGTGTTTTTCAGGAGCAAGAAGAATCGTAAAGTTTTAATAAGCTGAAACTGATTGTCGGACTTTGTCCCGCAGGTGCAGCAAGACGTCAAACATTAATGCAGCATTGAACAGACACAGCGGCGAGTTTCTGACTGAACACACGTCCAGCTGGAGGCTCCGGCACCACAGGTGAGTGAACACACCTGAAACACCTTCCAGCCGGATGAGAGAACGTTCAGAACGTTAAAGAGACCGACGGGTCAAAGTGTAAAGCTTTTTTCTGCGTCAGATATTTCATGAAAACAGTCTGTTTGGAGGTCGGCTGAAATAATAAGGGTGTGTTTTCATGAAGATAATGAAGCACAGATCGATCACACGTAGTTTCACAGCTGGACATGATTTACAGTCACCGTGTCACGTTTCGTTCGTTCTCTGTAAACATCATCCACCCTGAAACCGTCTGATAAAACCTAGAAGAACATTTATGCAGAGTGGGATTACTTTTCTGTCACAGTTGGATTGAACCAGTTTAGTTTCTCAGATTTTAACCTTTGAATTATCAGAAGCTTCAGTCCAAACAGCAGGAAGTTAAACTTTACAACCAGTTTAAAGTCCCGATCAGCTGCTCGAAATGACCTCACAGGGTTATATTGGTTGGATTAAACTCTGATTTATTAAATTTTACCTGTAAATTGGGTTTCAAAGCAGATCCAAATATTCCTGATCCTTAAATCAAGGCCTACCTTTGATCCGGACAAAAGGCTGCATTGGGGTTTATCTAAACTGAAGACCAGGATCTGGAAACTGGGGATCATTTGGTTTCCTCCAAGGTAGACTTCTCACAGATACCGTTACCCAAGATGTTCCTGTGATTTTAACACATTCTGATCACTAATCCAAACCTGCCTCTTCAAATTAGTCTTCACACTTGAGTAGAATTACATTTCACCCGCTGCTATTTGCTGGTTTTATTGTCTCTGCAGCATTTATGTACAGTATCTCCCAAAAGTGAGTCCACCCCCCACATTTCTGTAAATATCTGATTCTATCTTTTCATGTTTCAACACTGAAGAAATTACCCTGTGCCCCAGTGTAAAGTAGTGAGCGTGCAGCTCGTAGAACAGTTTAAAGTAGCGAGCGTGCAGCTCGTAGAACAGTTTAAAGTAGCGAGCGTGCAGCTCGTAGAACAACGTAAAGTAGCGAGCGTGCAGCTCGTAGAACAGTTTAAAGTAGTGAACGTACAGCTTGTATAACTGTAAAGTAGTGAGCGTACAGCTTGTATAACAGTGTAAAGTAGTGAGCGTGCAGCTTGTATAACAGTTTAAAGTAGTGAGCGTACAGCTTGTATAACAGTGTAAAGTAGTGAGCGTGCAGCTTGTATAAAGTGTAAAGTAGTGAGCGTGCAGCTTGTATAACAGTTTAAAGTAGTGAGCGTACAGCTTGTATAACAGTGTAAAGTAGTGAGCGTGCAGCTTGTATAAAGTGTAAAGTAGTGAGCGTGCAGCTTGTATAACAGTGTAAAGTAGTGAGCGTGCAGCTTGTATAACAGTGTAAAGTAGTGAGCGTGCAGCTTGTATAAAGTGTAAAGTAGTGAGCGTGCAGTTTGTATAACAGTGTAAAGTAGTGAGCGTGCAGCTTGTATAAAGTGTAAAGTAGTGAGCGTGCAGCTTGTATAAAGTGTAAAGTAGTGAGCGTGCAGCTTGTAGAACAGTGTAAAGTAGTGAGCGTGCAGCTTGTATAAAGTGTAAAGTAGTGAGCGTGCAGCTTGTAGAACAGTGTAAAGTAGTGAGCGTGCAGCTTGTATAAAGTGTAAAGTAGTGAGCGTGCAGCTTGTATAACAGTGTAAAGTAGTGAGCGTGCAGCTTGTATAAAGTGTAAAGTAGTGAGCGTGCAGCTTGTAGAACAGTGTAAAGTAGTGAGCGTACAGCTTGTATAACAGTGTAAAGTAGTGAGCGTACAGCTTGTATAACAGTGTAAAGTAGTGAGCGTACAGCTTGTATAACAGTGTAAAGTAGTGAGCGTGCAGCTTGTATAAAGTGTAAAGTAGTGAGCGTGCAGTTTGTATAACAGTGTAAAGTAGTGAGCGTGCAGCTTGTATAAAGTGTAAAGTAGTGAGCGTGCAGCTTGTAGAACAGTGTAAAGTAGTGAGCGTGCAGCTTGTATAACAGTGTAAAGTAGTGAGCGTGCAGCTTGTATAAAGTGTAAAGTAGTGAGCGTGCAGCTTGTATAAAGTGTAAAGTAGTGAGCGTGCAGCTTGTAGAACAGTGTAAAGTAGTGAGCGTGCAGCTTGTAGAACAGTGTAAAGTAGCGAGCGTGCAGCTTGTATAAAGTGTAAAGTAGTGAGCGTGCAGCTTGTATAAAGTGTAAAGTAGTGAGCGTGCCGCTTGTAGAACAGTGTAAAGTAGTGAGCGTGCAGCTCGTAGAACAGTGTAAAGTAGCGAGCGTGCAGCTCGTAGAACAGGGTAAAGTAGCGAGCGTGCAGCTTGTATAAAGTGTAAAGTAGTGAGCGTGCAGCTTGTATAAAGTGTAAAGTAGTGAGCGTGCAGCTTGTAGAACAGTGTAAAGTAGTGAGCGTGCAGCTTGTATAAAGTGTAAAGTAGTGAGCGTGCAGCTTGTATAACAGTGTAAAGTAGTGAGCGTGCAGCTTGTATAAAGTGTAAAGTAGTGAGCGTGCAGCTTGTAGAACAGTGTAAAGTAGTGAGCGTGCAGCTTGTAGAACAGTGTAAAGTAGCGAGCGTGCAGCTTGTATAAAGTGTAAAGTAGTGAGCGTGCAGCTTGTAGAACAGTGTAAAGTAGTGAGCGTGCAGCTTGTATAAAGTGTAAAGTAGTGAGCGTGCAGCTTGTAGAACAGTGTAAAGTAGCGAGCGTGCAGCTTGTAGAACAGTGTAAAGTAGCGAGCGTGCAGCTTGTATAAAGTGTAAAGTAGTGAGCGTGCAGCTTGTATAAAGTGTAAAGTAGTGAGCGTGCAGCTTGTAGAACAGTGTAAAGTAGCGAGCGTGCAGCTTGTAGAACAGGGTAAAGTAGCGAGCGTGCAGCCTGTAGAACAGTGTAAAGTAGTGAGCGTGCAGCTCGTAGAACAGTGTAAAGTAGCGAGCGTGCAGCTCGTAGAACAGGGTAAAGTAGCGAGCGTGCAGCTCGTAGAACAGTGTAAATCTGCTGTCCCCTCAAAATAACACATCACACAGCCACTAATGTCTAAACCGCTGGCAACTAAAGTGAGGACACCCCTCAGTGAAAATGTCCAAATTGGACCCAATCAGCCATTTAAGGGGTTGTGTTTTGACAGACACAGTATTTTCTGTATCTATTTTGATATGCTAAAGGTTTTACAGTAAAGTGTCTTTGAGTGTCCTAAAAAGCGCTACAGAAATAAAATGTGTTATTATTATAAACTCTAAATTGAGTGTTGCACGTTATAAGTGAAAGTGTTTTATAGTTCTAACCAAGTAGCAGAAAAAGGACAGCAAAACCCAGTCAGGCCACACCAAGTAGATAGTTGGCCTCCAACAACAGAACTCAGAGTTCACAGCCCTGAATCTGAAGCACGCTTCGTCTCTCAGCTGCTCCTCAGAGGACGATTCGTCTCACTGTCCTCTAGGAGTCCTCATTCAGTGATTGATACATTAACAGTTAAATGTCTTATGTATGAACTCGTCATAAGTGGAGGTAGCAGAAGTAGCGTGGGTGCGGCTGACCCAGGGCCCCAGCTGGGTAGGGGCCCCCTACATGGGCCTCCGGCATTACGCCAGTTGCTTTGTAATACGGCACGAGAGAGTTGCATGCAGGAACCTACCAATGAGAACACAGCCGTTCTTATCAAACTCTTCACTCCTGGTTTCAATAGCAAACCACCACAAGAATGACAATTACAAACAAAAACACTATATTCTAAGCAGACACGTTAAAAAAAACATACATCACAAAGTAACTTTTGTATTTCAAACAAATAGGATACTTATTAGCAAATTTTTGCAAAACTCCCTTCACCACCATGCATCATAGGAATTCTGAGGGATGGACTTAAAATCCAGTGCTCCTTCTCTGCTGCTGATTGGCTCTCACCTTCTTCCACCTGTCAGTTTTGGGGAAAACCCGCACAGATAGAGATGCAGCCGATAAAAACTTGTCCGGTAAAATGTTCAGTCACCAAGAAAAACATTTAGTTGCACTCGACAGATTTTTGGGCGCACTCCGGAGCCCTGTGTATATTTCACATGATGTTCCAGTAACGTTGATGATTCTTAGTCTGTGTCAAAACGGGCTATACTGCTGCCTCAGCAGGTGTCCAACAGGACAGCGAGGCATCGAGTGTTGTTCCAAATGGCTCGAACGATCTCCTCCTGTCTCCTGCCTTCAAACTGCCCCGTAACGCCCGGTTCTGAATTCTTGATGCTGCCTATTACCCAGAAATCAGTGCGGCTACGGCAGTTTACAAAAAATTGCCAAGATAGCAGACAAACAAGCCGAATTCGTATACAAATTATACAATACAAATTTTTTGTAGTTTTCTAGCTTCGATTATTGAAAAGTTAGCAAGAACTAAACACTGAACTATCATATGAGCCCGTGAGTGAAACCAACCAAGTTTGTTCAGTACGATTTCGGAGGTGTCTGTTAGCCATTTGGATAGTGGACCTTGGGTTAGGGGTAACCCTAACCTTGGACCCTTTGCTAAGGCGTGACGGCGTGCCTGTTGATGGCGTGCTGACGTCACACGTTGCCGTAAGTGCTGCCCTAGAAGGCTGTTCAAAACCAAAGTTAACAGAGATGCCTTCGCTTGAAAGTGATACCTGCTGAGGCAGCGAGGCAGCTGCCTTCTGTTTCGAACACAGCCGCAGACTCAACCCTCGTATAAAGACAGTGTTGTTGATCCTTCTCTTCTGTTGTCAGGGTGTCACAATGGCGAGTTCTCTGCTGACAGAAGACCAGCTTCTGTGCTCCATCTGTCTGGATGTCTTCACTCTTCCAGTCACGTTACCATGTGGACACAACTTCTGCAGGAAATGCATCTCACACCATTGGGATGTTAACGTCCCGTGTCACTGCCCGATGTGTAAAGAGAGATTTGATGCAAGACCTAATCTGCGGACCAACATCTTCATCTCGGAGATGGCAGCTCGTTTCAGACAATCAGCGGTAAGTAAAGCGAGCAGCAGCAACTCAAAAGTAAGGGTAAAGGTTAAGATACTTTATTGACACGTACACGTAGTGAAATTCATTCTCTGCATTTAATCCATCTCTCAAGGGAGCAGTGGGCAGCCACTGTGCGGCGCCCAGGGACCAGATCTATGCTAATGTCCGGCCAATGGCACTGACTGAAGAACCAAACATGTGGAGGGAAACTGGAGCACCTGGAGGAAGCCCACGCAGACCCGGGGAGAACATGCAAACTCCACACAGAAAGGCCGGGACGACGAGCTGTGAGGCCACAGGGCGATCCACCAGGCCACTGTGCCGCCCAAAGCCACAAGTTGCCAAACTAGGAGACGTTTCCTGCGATGAATGCAGTGGAATCAAACTGAAAGCCCTGAAGTCCTGCCTGGCGTGTCTGACGTCCTACTGTGAGACTCACCTGAAGCCTCATCTGACCTCGTTGGGCCTGAAAAGGCACCAGCTGGTGGACCCGGTGAAAAACCTGGAAGACAGGATGTGTCCGACGCACGATAAACCGCTGGAGCTGTTCTGCAGGACGGACCACACGAGTGTCTGCGTGCTCTGCACGGTTTTAGACCACAAGTCCCACATGTTTGTTCCTCTGAAAGACGAGCATGGAATGAGGAAGGCCATGCTGGAGAAGACAGAAGGCAAAATGTGCCAGATGATCCAGGAGAGGCGGCGGAAGATTCAGGAGGTGACCCTGTCAGCAAAGCTTAACAGGGAAGCTGCAGACAGAGGGATGGCAGGCGGGGTTCAGGTCTTCACTGATCTGATGCAGTTTCTTGAAGGAGGTCTCACCGAACTCATCGAGACGATTGAAGAGAAGCTGAAAGCAATGGAGCGAAAGGCTGGAGGCGTCATCACAGAGCTCGAACAGGAAATCAATGTGCTGACGAAGAGACGCACTGAGGTGGAGCAGCTCTCCTGCTCAGACGACCACTTTCATCTTGTCCAAGGTTTCTCGGCCCTGAACACCGCTCCACCCACGAAGGACTGGACCGAGGTCAGTGTCTGTCAGCCGTTATATGAGGAGCTGGTGAGGAGAGCTGTGGTGGGAGCCGTGGACAGGTTGCAGGAGACGTTCAGAAAAGAGAAAAAGAAGCTGCTCGAGGCCGAGCTGAAGAGGGTCCAGAAGTACGAAGTGGAAGTGACTCTGGATCCTCAAACAGCAAGTCCCTGGCTCATCCTGTCCGGCGACGTCAAACAAGTCAGTCTTGGAGACACGAAGAAGACTCTCCCAGACAAGCCTGAGAGATTCTACCCGGGCGGGGGAGTCTTAGGAAAGCAGAGTTTCTCCTCAGGAAGATTTTACTATGAGGTCCGGGTGAAGGAGAAGACAAAGTGGGACTTCGGTGTGGTCAAAGAGTCCATCAACAGGAAGGGGAAGATCACCAAGAGCCATGACAGTGGGTTCTGGATACTGAGCGCGAGGAAGGGAAATGAGTACAAAGCTCGTGGCGGCCACGACGTTCCCCTCAGTCCGACGAGGCGTCCTGAGAGGGTCGGGGTGTTTGTGGACTATGAGGAAGGTCTGGTCTCCTTCTATGATGCCAATGTTGCAGATCTGATCTTCTCCTTTACGGACTGCCGCTTCACTGAGAGACTCTACCCGTTCTTCAGGCCCAGCCACACCAGAGTAGACTCCGCCCCTCTTATCATCTCTCCTGTCAATCACACTAATTAGATCCAATCGTTCAGTGTCTCTTCATCTTTATCTTCCTTTCATCTGGTTTTTGTCCCCTTATGTCACTCCCTGATCAGCTGATGTGTGCTGCACATGATTCATATGATCTGTCACTACCCAGAACCACCTAACAAGCCAACCCGTTCTCACTCTTGACCATGGGCAAGAGCCGTCGGCGTCCGTTTGTAACGCAGTGGGGGAAGCCCTTACCTTTAGCATTCAAAACTGATGCTAAGTGTAGGATTATATTTAACAGAAAAGTCAGAGTAAGGAGGTGGTTGGGGTGGATGGAGGGTCAGAACCCCAACTTTCAACCAGGAGACCGGGGTTGGTTTCTCGTGTGAAACTAAAAGTCAACATTAACCCCTTGACGGCTGAATTTATTTACAATTATATAAGAAAATGTATTATTTCTACCGTTCTGTACTATTTTATGTGCATTCAGGTTGATGTTAAATTAAGTGGAAATTGTTTATTTGTCTATGAACATATAAATTCAGGTATGATGTAGGTATGACGCAAACCAAAGCTTGCAAAAGATTCCTATCTGTTATGACCCTGGGGTCATATTTTATATGTATTTCTCTCTCACCCTGCACTGTCAGCTGTTCTCCTCCCTTACAGTGTGTGTGAGTCTATGCAGGTGATGGAGAACAGGTAGGCACACTGGATTGGTCCTGCAGAGCTGATTGCTGCCTCCTGATTGGTCACCTGGATGACAGCGGCCATTTTAAGCCCCGCTGACAGGAACTCCCTGTTAGTGCCAAATCCGTACCGCCAGCAAGAGCCGTTCTTCAGTCAAAGAAGGTCACCGCAAATCTGCCTCTTCAAAATGATCCAACTAAATCTTTCATATCGAGATAACAATGCTTTTTAATCTGGAGATGAAACTGTTCACTATGATGTAATAGGACTATACTTTAGATATTAAAAACCTTATTCAACAGAACATTTTAACATTTTTAATAATGTCAGCAATCTCACAAGCAGCTAGGGTTAGCCAGTCGACATGCATACAATCGCTGACTTAGGTTTAGGCACACACCCTGGTGGTTAGGGTTAGAATAAGATACTGCAGGAAGCAATGCATTTTATACTAACGTAGCTACCTAGCTAGCTCCTAGTGCTTCCGGTCTAGACGGGGCGTCTCATTCAGACGTACCCGGAGTCGTCCCATGTGGACGCCGAAGGGTACTTTTTGCATCAAATAACGCTAATAAAGCGTAAGTATTTGATGCCCTGAGATGAGAACAGACAACAACACACGAATAATCATCAACAGGCACATTTGCACTTTTGCGCACGTAAAGAACGGATCTTGCTGGCGGTACGGATCTTGCTGGCGGTACGGATCTGGCACTGACACTCCCTTCTCTCTCTCTGCCATTCCCAACCCGAGCCTGTGTGTCACGTCTGTGTTAGTCGTGAGTAGAGAACTGTTGTGATCGTACGAGACTTTGTAAGTCAACCTCTGTAGTGAACTTTGAATAGCTTTGTAATTCTGATTATTGTCGTTGACAATCTTGTTTCGTTGGCTTTAGCCATTTTGTTTGTCATATACAGATTTTCTTTGTTGTAGCTGTGTTGTGTCAGCGACTAGCAGATTAGTAGGAGTGAGAAGCCCTTTTTGTTTGCACCATTTTCTCCTGTTTTTGATAATAGAAGCCTAGTTTAGAGCTTTGTCTTTTCTTTACTTTAGGAAAGTGTTGGGTTTCTTAGAATGTTTTGGTTGTTGTTTTGGGCGCTGCTCATCTCTGAAGCAAATAAAAACTACTAAATTGTATTTCCTGTGTTCTGGCATTGCTTGAGAATGGGAAGAGTGGGAAGCCACACATTTATGATACATCCAGGATACCCCTAGACCTTAGGACGTAACATATCGAAGATGCACAAACAGGCATTGGGGGAATACATACGCTATCTCGGCTGCAGTCTGAAAGGAAGAGGTGTGATGCGAACTCGTGACAATCGGCGTCAAGGGGTTTAATATTTTATTTAAGTTACTTAAATTGCGTAAGTTACGCAAGTAATGTTATTAACCTATGTGTTAACTGATGTTTGTAGTGATTTTAACCTAAACCATGATCTTTTCCTAAACCTAACCAAAATGCAAAGTTTCACAACTGTAATAAAATATGTAATATTAGTTGTACTTGTAGTATTAAAATACACAATGTATTTAATACTATGAGATTTCAGAAGATGCCGATTCATTTGTTTTTCTCCACCATGATGCTTCAGTAAAGACTGAACAGATCAACGCTGACTGTTAGTGTGAAAAGCTTCAGGAGGAAAAACAATCCTGCCGGAGTGAACGAGACTCCTCCAGACGAGTGCAACGTCATTTCCTCTTAGGTTTCCACAACGTTTGCTTTAACCTGCAGGTTTTGGGGATTATACCAGGGAGCGAAATGATCCGTGTATCGTTGGTTCTTTGATTATTCCGTTTCATATCCGAAAACCAAAACAAAAAGTTATTTTTTGGGGTTTAAACCGTTTCTTTCCTCCACGTGTTGGATCCCTGCTGGTTTTCACTGATGCGAGGCCTAATCTGCGGACCAATGAGACATTCAGGTTTCTCATGTTTGCGGTCACATATTGATCAAGTACGTCAGCATCCAGGTAACATTTGGTTTGGGGCTGATCTAAAACACCTGGTTACCTGAGTGATCTATGAAAACACCCAACATGTGTATTAAAGGATTTTGTCGAGGCTACGGTGGCATCGATCACTACGTTACAGCCCCGTACACTTTATAACACAGGAGTACTAAAAAAATACACACAGGAAGCTTAGCGCACATGTGGTTCTAACACCGGTCATGAAGAAAACCAAACACAGCTCCTTTGTTTTTCTGTTTCATTAAGTATTTAGATTTTGATGAAGAGCAAACTACAGACGGAGCTAACCGTCTTTCTTTAATTATCTTCTTTTTTAAAGAGATAAGAGTCGAGTGTCATTCAGAGTGAGCCTGCAGGGATGGGTATTGAGTATCGATACCTTAAAAGGGATCAACCGACTCAGTGTCGAAACGTCTCCAGTCAAACCAGTACTTCAATCAATACTTTTTGTAAAAAGATCACGTCAAAAAATTATGATTTGTATGGTTTTGCTTGCAGCCAAACATGCAAGCAACACACTGAAGAAAGAAGAGCAGCCTTTTATTTTACTGTATGTGCCTTCACCCCCTTGTAAGGGCCCGTGTCCACCCAAGTGTTTTTTGCCAGCTGCTCTTCTCAAAATGCCCAGCAGCGAGCGCTAGCGGGTGTTTTTGAGGAGCGGTGTTTTTAACGACTGCTTTGGTTGCTATGATGCATTTGTTGAAAGTAGTTCTACCCGACTGTGCTGGCTGTAAACATGTCAACACAGAGTAGCGTCCTCGCTCTGCATGAAGAGAAGGCTGAAGCAGGTGGAGAGGGAGGACAGTATGTGGGTTCATGAGATTTTGCGGGTGAGGAAACATCTCGGCCCGGTTGCAGGATAGTAACCGTTGCTATGGTGTGGTGTTTGTCCCGCCCCTCCTCTACTGTGATTGGACAGCTGGGTAAAAAGTGACAGTGTCGAGCGCAGCGTTTTTCTTAAAGTAGAAAATTTTTCAACTCTCGGCGACAGGGAAAAATTTGCTCAGCGCCTCGTCACGCTGCTGGCATTTTTACCAGCTTATAAAAACGCGGCACTCCCATTGGAATGACTTGTAAAAAGACGCTTTGGTGGACACGGGCCCTGAGTCCATGCTGATTTTAACAGCCGCTCACCTTCTCACCACAAGCTCGGCTTTCCGTTGGCTTCATCTTCTGGCATCATTTAACACTTCTCTGTACGTTTTTATTTGTTATTTCCGCAGCTCATGTGGTCACTAAACTATTTCACTCTCATTCAAATAGGCACCAAAAAAACCGTCATCGTCGTCCTTCCTCTGAAGATGACCTAGGATGAGGCGCCATCTGAGGGTTTTTGAAAAAAGAAAAAAGAAATACATATCCTTGCTTGTCCATACCAACAAAAAAATAGCAAGGTATCGAATGAAGTGCTCTGTTGGTATCGGTATCACTTTAAGGGTACTGGTTTTGGTGAACTGGTATCGTAAAATTTTAAAAGATACCCAACCCTGTGCAGCAATATCAGCAAGACGATCAGTTTGGGAGGAGCTGAAGTTAGCATAGCAGTCCTCTGTTGTATCAAGACATCACTTCCTTAAATTCAGCGACAGCACTAAGAAACAGACAGAGACAGACAGAGTTTCTGAAGAGTCGAGTGGCCAGCAAGAGCGCTTCCTCTTTTTACTGGAAATCACCGTCTATTCTGAAATCTGATCACGTACAACCGGTCGAGCAAAGGTCAGGGCACCAGAGACCGCAGAGAAACATTAAAATACAAAACTCAGTAAATCATAAACATCTTTCTTACTTAAACTTTGTACTTTTGTAGTTTGAACTGAGCTCAATACTTTTACTACAGTCAGTATCTATGAAGAAGCCGAACCAGGTGCTCCCAGTGCCCTTTTCTTCACATTTACCTCGTTCTCACAACAACATATATATCTGCAATTTTATAAACTCTTCATTTCTTTTGTGTAAAAATGTGTAAAGGAGCTAAAGCTGTCAGATAAATGCAGTGCAGCAGAAAGTAGTACAAGTACCTCAAAATGATCCTAAAGTACAGTACTTCAGTAAGTGCGTGGTAACGTTGACAGAAAGACTCACCTGATGTCTGAATGACACAAACACAAGTGTTTCCTGTCCACATGTAAAGGCGTAGTTTAGGCAGAGCAACGTCTTCAGTGTTCAGATTCTGCGTTCAGTATTTTGGGCTGCGACTATTAACGATTATTTTAATTGTCCATTAATCTGGCGATTATTTTCTCATTTAATCGATTAGTGAAAAATGATCAGCATTTCCCAAAAACCCGAGACGACGTCCTCAAAAGTCCCAAACAGATTCAGTTTGCTGTCACAGAATCAGAGAACTTGGACGTTTCTTTCTTAGAGAAAGATTGATTGATTAATTTAAATTAATTATTATTTGTTATTTTTTTAACATTGATTAATCGATTACAACAGATGAATTTAATAGTTGACAACTTCTGGATTAATAGATAACTCGTTGTGTCTCTAAACAGCATGTAGGAAGTCAACACTCACCCAGCAGACACACAGGTGGAAGGACCTGACTAACACCTGGAAAAGACTGAAGGGCCTTGATGCCGAGCACTGCGTGGAGGACCCCGAGTAAAACCTGACATGGAATGAAGAGTTCTAGATAATAACCTGGTCCTGAATAATACTGCAGAGCTGTAAATAATGCGAGGATACAAACTAATACCTGGAAATTGAGAGTAGGAAAATGTTTGGAG